TCTCTTTCGCCTGAGTACAAGCGTATTGCTTATAAGTACGCTATGATAACGACGACTTTATGTTCGACAGAGGTAGAAGGGGCTGGCCACTGGTTTAACTTCCTTCACCCCTCATCCATCATTTATACTCTCATATTCACAACCTCTATCAATATATACTTAAAAAGATTCAACAGAGGCTCACCTGCATGACACGTGCTTCGCACGACATTATATCATCAATTACATCACTCGTGTCCTCTACCATTTACCAATAGAAAAGACAACTAGATCTACTGTATCTCAAAAACAGCATTACCAAACTGTAGTTTGTCCTTCTCGTTTATATATATATCCATTAAACAACCAAGGATCATGTTAAAAATTGCAAAATACTGCTCTAAAAACAGCAAATCTTACATATCTCTATTTGACATCTTGAAGGTATGTGACTGAAACTACAAACTATTAATAGAAAGAAAATTCTTCACTTATATCTCTTTTCAGCGTACTACGTAGACAGACAGAATTCGACAACGATGCTATGTATGTACATACTTACTTCGAAATTTCGTTAAAAACGTCAAAGGGTGCAAACGAATTATGCACGTTATTAACCTGCTAATATTATATAACAAGGAAACGTGAGTTTGTTATTCATTCACGCAAATACCAGTTGATGGATCGACTTGAAATGTTACATGTAAATAGATAATGGGGCGGATTAGTATAGTATAGGCCATCGAGCATCCCAAATCACAGCAATACTCCTGAGGGATGACATAAATAATATCCACATAAACCGATACAGAGTGGCGCCGCAGGCACTACAAGGAACCACACAAAGTTTATTTTAAATTAAAACTAAAAAAATATTGACACCGATAATACAGTTTGTTGATTGTTCTTTTTTACGTTATTGATAAGTATAGTTTCACACAAGATGATGTTATACCTTGAATGAAAAAATACATGAACAAAGAATAAATAAAGTTTAGAATTTTACTGCTGCTAAACAGTGTAGATTTACAATATTTTATATAATTGGGATTACAATTTTATAAATAACATAAATAAAATAATTAACGACATGCTTTTATTACTTTTACACAGTGATTAGTGTTATAAATGACACCAAATATTTTGACTACACACACCGTGTGAAATGAACTGCCGATTTTTCACAGTTTAGGTAATGAAATATTTTTTTCGCAATGACATGTTTTTAAAGTGGAAACTTTTCAAGGAAAAATGTACACAATTAGGTCAATTCAGAAACATGAAATTTATAGAAGTAAATTCTATGAGGCGAATCCCTGTCAATCATAACGTTTGCGTATGCTCGATTATTTTCGTTACAAATGGGTTTTATCGACTACACGTGTTAATCCTAAAAAGACAAGCTACAAGTATACATTTTAATTCTTTTATCGCAGACTTGTACTTACCTTATCGGCAGTGCTCGTCGTGTGAGTTTAATCAAACATATTTAAAATGAAGGGTATCCATCTTATGCAATAATTTGCGACTATTTAAAGAATATTTCTATACTGTAATAAAAAGACTTCCCAGAATAATCCACATTTCGTGAAATTGCTTGCGATGTAACACGTGTGAAAATAATATTGTGATTTTCATGTATTCTCATTTACTGTGTCTGAGTGGTATTCACGCTTTATACAGAAGGATATAACAATAAAATAAGCTTATATTTCGAAAAACGTCAATAATAATGTAGCCAAACAGACTGTCGGAAATAAATAATGAAATCAAATCTTGGAACATGTATGAACTATAGGTACTGAACTTCGGTTGCTTTCATCCACAAGCCCGAAATATATGGAATTCAGCATGACAACGCTATTGGCAGTTCTCATTTAAACTTTTTCTATTTTGTAATAAATTAAAGTAAATATAAAAAAAAATAAAAATTATTGCGTTACTGACTTATATGTAAACAATATAAAGACTGAGCCTTGAGAGTGATATTAAAATTATACCGAGAATCAAATTTATCCATAATACACTTAATAATCAATTGGGTACACTTTCTAGTAAATAATTAACTATTTCATTTATTTCAATATATGGTAAACGACTCAGTACCCAAACATAATCCCAAATGTTCGTAATTGTCTGACAATGATTATTAAAATAAGTTTAATATTATAATTTATTTATATATTTACATAATTTCTATTCCATAATATTAGACCGAAAATTACGGAAAAAAAAATATTGTCTACAAAAAACAAGTTTTTGATACGAGGATTCGAAAGCTCTCCATTTTTATGCAGATGTTAAGTATTTGGCTACGAACCGCTGACCATTTGTTAAGACTATTACTGTTTTTATTCATTATTTTTTAAAAACTGAATTTGTGTAAATTACTAGATATCTTTTTAAAATAAATATAATATGAAAATCTCTGAAAAAATTAATTTGATTTTTAATATTGATGCGTTCGGTTATTGCGTCTCATTAAATTAGGCTGAACGTGAAACCTGAACACTATTCGTGTGCATGATTGCTACGCGATTCACGAGCATGTGAATTTTCTCGGGCTTGTGATTTCGTGATTCTTTAACGAATGATAAGTTCCGTATAATATAAGTTTCGTATAATTTTCTTTATATCATTTATTCAAAAAATAAACGATATTTTTTATTTTGTATAAACTATGTATTAAAATATTATGTGAAATATTGTGTGAATAATTGTGAAAATAAATTTTAACTGATATTATATTTTGTCATTACAATATTAATTAATTATTTCAGTAACCTAACTATTGAAATATTTCAAAAATCTTATTGCTATGCGAACTGTCAGTTTGCGCTTATGGGAATCGGTCACAGTCACATGTCATTTTTTGAAGAGGCCACACTGCCGTATCGACCACTTGCGGCCAACTTCTGCTGGTGCGTTTTTACTGACTAACTCTGTATAATAGTTGATATTTGAAACAAAAAAAAAACAATTAGCTGGCTATATGCCGGTGGAAAGATCGTCAGCTGAGGCAATGAAAAGTGTGGCGCACAAAACAGGTGTGAGCGCCGCGCGCACATAAGATACAGAAGATGACGGTTCTTCCCCTGGCATCTAATCAGCTGACTATTTTTTTATGTCTAGTATCATATCCACTATTATGTAACAAATTTCCAGTCGGGTTGGAATCACTAAACTTTAATTTTTTTAAAGCAAGTTTGTATAAGCAGCTGATGTATAATCCACCGTGTTACAATCAGTTGATTATTCAGCTGACTGTCTTTCCACCGGCATATAGCCAGCTAACTATTTTTTTTTGTTTTAAGTATCATGTCAACTGTTATACAATAATCAATTTTAAATCGGGTTGGAATCACTAAACTTTAATTTTTTTTAAGCATGTTTGTATAAGCAGCTAATGTATAATCCACCGTGTCATCTGATTATTATTTTTATATTCTATACGACATACTTAAACCATAAATAAAATTTCAGCCGGGTTGGTTTATTTATTTATTTTTTTAACGTGCATGGGAGGTTGCCGTTGTCCAACCCACGGTTACTGAACCAGATGACGTTCACGAGGCTTTATAACAACACCATATGAAGCATATTATAGTACATAATATCAGCCGGATTGAAATGACTGACCAAAATATATCGTTGGCTCCCGGACTATAAGACATTCCATATACTTCACATTCAACTATGCATATCCCTCCATTAGATGGCTGAATTTTACTCATAAGCTTAGCCGCGTGATTAATGGTTATAGACCAATTTAAGCATTAAATAAAAATGTTGATTCTGGTTTTTTCTTTTAAACTAGGTAACTAATGGATTCATTGAACTGTATTTCCACTTGAAAGGGAAATGTTCTACCATTATACATCATGTGCCTAACGAAGAGTTCAGAATATATTTTTTGCTAAAACAGATGTAAGGTATCCAATATTATTTCAATAAATAGATTTTCCCATATTTGTAGCCTTTGAGTTCCCAGGCGGTCTGTCAATCGTGCATAATGTACATCTGATGTAATTCACGAGAAAATTGTGTTTTAGATACCCATTGAAAATGCATTTCTTTGAGTTCACATAGTATCTTAAAGCAATATATTATTTAACGTATACAAATTCAAGGATTTTGAGAAAATATTGTAAATAAATATAATGCACTCATAATCTCAAGTTAATTACTAGAAAGCACATTTCGCAAATTTGAAATTGCGAAATTCAATTATGAGTGAACGGAAATTACCAGCAAAATGTCTACCAGGAGAGAATTAAATGCTAAGAATTCCTGCAAAGTTTACGATAAAAATGCTTTGTCACAAATGAACTTCTTATGACACAAAATAATATACTGCATGGTCAAATTTTACACCAATATCACACATTATGGCAGTTTACCAGTACTATATTTAAACCTTACTATATTTAAATCATTGTCATGATTTAATATCCCACGATTATCATGACAGTCGGGGTAATTTTTCGCGTAAAATTCTCTTCATGTAGTTCAGATACCTCTCTATTATACATTTCACATCCTAAATATTTCCGTACAACATTTGCATTAGATGTCACAAGTACCGATATGTGTGTTTGGGGGGGGGGGGGGGAAAAAAAAAA